GCAGCAGAAGTTTAATGGGAGAGATGGAACAAGAGGAACCTCATTCTCATAGGCCACACTGAGAGGACATCTAATTTTTTTCATCAGGTGCACATGTGTGTGTGTGTATGTGCACATACATGTGCGTGCAAGTGTGTGTTTTTTTTTTCAGAAAAGGAAATCAAAAAGGATGTATTTAAGCAACTGAGGTTATATGTCTCACACCAAGAAATCAGAACAACAGCAACCAAAAAGAGTCTCATCACATCACCCTAAGCCAAAGCCCACATGGAGAGCATCAAGGAACCGTTCAATATTTAAAGTGTATCTCATACTGAGAGCAGTTCAGGGCTGAGGTTATTGTAATATCACTTTTGTACTGACATTGAAAGAGTCAGTGTACAGTTGCTCACCGTATAGGAAGATTTCTGGTGTACTAGCAGGCATGTTTATAAACATCTTCACTGTGTACTAGAAGGCATGATTATAAAAATGTTCACTGTGTACTAGAAGGCATGTTTATAGACATGTTCACTGTGTACTAAAAGGCATGATTATAACATCTGCACTGTGTACTAGAAGACATGTTTACAACATCTGCACTGTGTACTAGCAACCATGTTTATAAACATCTGCACTGTGTACTGGAAGGCATGTTTATAAACATCTGCACTGTGTACTAGAAGGTGTGTTTATAAACATCTGCACAGTGTAATAGAAGGTGTGTTTACATCTGCACAGTGTACTAGAAGGCGTGTTTATAACATCTGCACAGTAATAGAAGGTGTGTTTACAACATCTGCACTGTGTACTAGAAGGCGTGTTTACAACATCTGCACTGTGTACTAGAAGGCGTGTTTACAACATCTGCACTGTGTACTAGAAGGCGTGTTTACAACATCTGCACTGTGTACTAGAAGGCGTGTTTACAACATCTGCACTGTGTACTAGAAGGCGTGTTTACAACATCTGTACTGTGTACTAGAAGGCGTGTTTATAACATCTGCACAGTGTACTAGAAGGCGTGTTTACAACATCTGCACAGTGTACTAGAAGGCGTGTTTACAACATCTGCACAGTGTAATAGAAGGTGTGTTTACAACATCTGCACAGTGTAATAGAAGGTGTGTTTACAACATCTGCACTGTGTACTAGAAGGCATGTTTACAACATCTCCCAGTTTCTTTCCATGTATGAGAAATCGGTCTACTTGTTTCAGGCTAATGCATCTATTTTCTTCTAATATTTTAAACTTTTGGGGACTGTTTTCTCAACATCTTTTATTTTCTCCATATCTTAATATAAGAGAGCAAAGATTTTCCAAGAAAATAATTATTTTCAGTATTTTAGTTTCTTCTCTCATGTCATAATGGCAAGAATTCAAATATTTTCCCAAATTAAACTAAAAGTTGTTGAAGATGTTTAAAAAAAAATAGAAAGACTTGACCTTAAAGTTGAAGAAGAAATGATTCGTGACCAAAGGAGGCAGAATGCACCCAAGCTCCTAATAACACCAAACAAGGCTGCATTTGCGGCTAAGGCACCAAGCTGTGGGTGAATACCAAAGTGCCACAGAAAACCAGAGAGCCACAGAATGCTGTGAGCTGAGGAAGGATTTGTGAACACAGACTGTGCTGAAGGGCAGGGAAGAGCAGGGGTGTCGGTGGAGGCGCGGGGATAGTACGGGTCTGAGATCTCAAGGGAAGAGCTTTAGAAGAAAAGTACACCCCAAACACTTTGTATTAAATCTCTTTCTCCCCAAAGTGTTATATTTCTGTTGCTAATTCATTGTCCTGTTGGATTGTAATTCATTACAGATTCATCTTGCTCAGCAGGACTTCCTCCTCTTCCAAAGATGACATTTTCATAAGCTGAACTACTTGTCTTCAATGATTAGTAAAAATCATGAATTCAACCTATGCTTTCAATAAGAATTTTTATCTATTAAGCATACATGAAACATTCAAGAAAAACTGAGGCCCAGCCACCAAGTAGTAACTACAGATTATGGATATTTAATGCAATAAGGGATCCTTAGTGTTTATTTGATCAATAGAAGAAATGAGAGAAAAAGAAGAAATAGAGCTTTGATATGGATTAATGCAAAGCATTGTTTAAATAGTTTGTTGTCTCCTGTTCTTAGGGCAGATGGGTATGAGGTGCCACTGCATATAAAATACAGACCACACATAAAACATATACTTTAATTTTCCTTCAGGTCAATTATGCTTGTTGTCTTTTTCAGAAGTTCTAGAATGATTCAATATCCCAAGTGTTACAGGGTGGGCAGTCCAGGAATAACCCAAATTTGAAACAACGAAAGATAACATAGGGCTGGCAAGATGATTCCATGAATAAAGGCACCTGCTACCAAGTCTGATGGCCTGAGTTCAGTCTCTGGTTCCCACAAGGTGGATTGAGAAAACCATTCCCAGCAAGTTGTCTTCTGATGTGTGCCTTGGTATACACGCACACATATACGCCCACACATGCAAACATACACACACGCAAACACACACACACACATGCAAACACACACACACACGCAAACACACACACACATGCAAACACACACACACATGCAAACACACACACACAGAGGTAACAATATTTGTTTTAAAGAAAACTATGGTATCAAGGGATAGGTATATCAACCCTTTGCTTCCAGCTCACAATATTGTAAGAAAACAGCAAAAAATGTAGGGAAACGTTCGCAGTCCTCCAAAATGAAACACCGACCCTATAGAAAACCTGCTGACCTGGAGGCAAGAGGAGGAGAGCAAGGAATGTGAGGAGAAATACACAGTTATTTACAATAACAAACTCCTTTCTCCCAGAGGTGAATTATTCCAGGCAGTAATAAACTGAAATCCTTTGCATAAGCAAAAGCTGAATAAAACAAACACTTTAGACACTGCCCAGACGCCTCTGTGTTACTGCCTGCTGTGGGGAAAAGGCCAGCAGCCCTGACATCAAAATGGCCTGATCTCAGTTACTTCTCAAGTCATGTAATCTCTCCGAGCCAATTTCCCCATCTTTAAAATTAGGGTAACCATGCCAACTTCTAAAGGATGCTCTCAGATTAAAGGCAGTATTTTAAAAGAAACTTGACTGGGGGCTTCATGAATGGTGGGAGCCACAAGTGTAGCTTACTGACTCTACAACCAAAACAGGCACAGATTTCTCATTTCATCCTACTAGATGGAAAATTAAACCTGCCTTTGCTGAGGCCAAGAGGGATGGTACCTCATTGCCTTATATGATGGTAATCAATATCCCTGTTCATTTCATGCAGATCCATAGGTGGATACTAGACATGTGTAGGAGTAAGTGAAGGGCTCTTGTGGTCAGACAGAAAAACAAGGTGGTAGAACAGTCGGTATAAGGATTTTCCCCTCAATTCTGCTGTAGAGTTGGTTCCTTCTGTCCCTTTGGCCACTCCTGGTCCTTATCCAGTCTAACTTACTCTGACCCACTAGTCTTTTCCTCACAGCAGCTGACTTGGTGGTTCTCAATTAAAGACTTGCTGAGAGGATGTAAAATTTGATCAAATGATCCTGTACCACTTGAAGCATAAGCATTTCTCCCTATCTTTGATATCCACAGACCGTATGTATAATGTTTTGGATATATCAAAGCATTGTACACCATTCTAAATGGAAATATGGATTTCCAAGAATTTCAAGCTTTTGTTAAAACACACATAGGGCAAATGTACCGAATTTGAATTTTCCTTTATAATAAAGACTTAGAATTTTTAGTTATGGATATTAGTGTAAATTTACAAAGCTAATATATGCCTTAAAAACCCGCAATACCTCAAGAACAGGTTTTCTTTAAAATGTAAATCTTGTAGCTGTTGGTGAGATCTGTTTTGTAAGCAGGAAGCATGGTGGCAGAGGTGGACCTGGAGAGCCGGGTTTTGTACGTATAACACACGAGAGTTCTGGAAACAGTAATGCTAACTAGCTCCCAGGCCAGGTTCCCCACTTACATAACACAAATGCAGAACAATTTGCAGGTGGATCCACGGATATCCTTCTGGGTACGGATGTAATGGTATTGGAGGCACAATGTTGGCTCAGAAACAATACCAATAACTCTTTGCATGGCTGATCTTGGGCAGATTTGTGGATCAGCACAAATTTATGCTCTTGAAATCTGTTCCTATCACTGTTCCTATAACTCCCAGGTGTATTTGCATTTCATAATTTCATTCCTGTCCTTGGCTTAGCACAGAAGATTTACACCACAAATTACCAATTGGGGTAAGTCAGCTTATTGTGTGTGTGTGTGTGTGTGTGTGTGTGTGAGAGAGAGAGAGAGAGAGAGACAGAGAGACAGAGAGACAGAGAGACAGAGAGAGACAGAGAGACAGAGAGAGACAGAGAGAGAGAGAGAGAGAGAGAGAGAGAGAGAGAGAGAGAGAGAGAGATGCATGTGCCACAGTGTTCCTGTCAAAGTCAGAGGATAAGCTATGAGAGCTGGTTCTCTCCTTATACCACCTGGGTCCTGGGAATCAAACTCATCTTGACGGCAGCTGCCTTTTTCTACTGAGCCATTTCTTATCAGAAGGATCAAGGACCAACACAGTTATAAGGAAGCATTCCATCCTCAAAGAATGAATCTCTCATTGTAAAAGTTCAGATACCACAGTGTGTGGGTATAGCTTCATTAGAGTAAGTGAAGGTTCCCTAGTAGGGGCTAAGACAGAAGGGAGCTGGAAGCAGTGATTGCTTTCTACTTTAGTTCTCAAAGTTTGGTTGTGAAAACACAAAATCTATCCTTAAGAACAAATCAAAATAAACAGCAGATTCATAGGCTGAATTCTGCAATCGTTCACTGCAGATGGGGAAGTAAATGCAACATTATCCCAATTGTGAAAATACTCTGAGTCTACCTTAGTGCCAAAGACAGAGGATTTCCATGCATATCTGCCAGTAACCACTGTGACATTGAAACAGATTTTATTTTAAGTTGGTGACAGTGTAAAGCAACATCATCTTCACTTTTGGTCTTACCAGGCACTCCAGCTTGGATCCAGAAGTTAATATCTGTTCCTTCTCCATCACTAAAGACGTCGGTGATGTTGAGGGGCTGCAGCAGGCTCATGACCTCCTTCATAATAGCCCTGGCCTTGTCACTGCCGGTGAACTCCAGCCCCATGGGTAAGAAGGTTCCTGAGTCAGACTCCATCACCAGACTGTAGTTGGAAACATTGACCTAAATAAAATATAAAAGAGATAAGTGTTTGATTCCCATCTATTGCTTCTATGCTATCAAATAATTCACCTCCTCACAGATTCTTGTCAAAACAATATTGTTCTTCCCTGATCAATATCTAGTCTGTGTATTTCCTAATGGTTCTAAGATGTACAGTTTCCCGTCCTGGGATTTGTCACACCTAAGAATTAACTGGAAAGTTACAAAAAATGTAACAGAGTGAATGCAATAAAATTGAACAATTATTTTTATAGCAACAATAGTTTTTGAACACTTTGCTTAAGGCACTTCTTACTAGAATATGTTATGTTCTCTGCAGGAGAAGGAAAGTAATCATCAATCTTACCCAACTATGTACCTTGTGAGATAAATAATAGTTGCTCTAACAAGAATGCCCACAGGTGCAGTAGTGGCCCACTGTCCTGAGAATAACCAGCCACTTTATGATTGGATTTATGTCCCTCTCCAGAAGATGAAACCATGCTCCACGCCATTATCAGGCCAAGAACCTATGACTAGACAAGTCATAGCTCCTAGGGAAGAAACTTATACTATTATACTGTTAAAATAGCACAGTATTAGACTGACTTCTAACGACTTATTGCTATACCTATAGATTGATGACTCTTTCGGTCCTCATCAGAGAAGCTTCTATTTGCACTAGATAGTGATTAACACAGAGAGCAACAGCAGGCCAGGAGCAGAAGACAGAAGATTCCAGAATCCTCAGTCCTAAACTGAATAATATACCACACCTCAGCCTCCCAAAACTTAGGGGTAATTGCCAAAGAAGGGGTAGAACACCTGTAAGAGCAGAGGCGGTGGACGACTACAAGGAAACAGTGTCTTGTGGACATGGCAGAACAGCAGTACACAGGAACTCACAGCGGTTGCGACAGTGCGTACAAGCACACAAGACTTGTGCAAGCCCAAGTCAGACCAAATCCCAGCACAGGTAAGGGAGGGAGGCACAAAATTCTACCCCTAGCTTTGGGGTGGTCGGCAACTGTTAGCTGCTGAAAGAGGAACCATCAGTTTTCTGTAAGAGTACAGCCCCCGGTAAGGTGACCACGCTTCCGTGGGAGGATGCAGCGCACATTAGCCTAGCCGGGGACAAACTGAAGACACAAAGTCAGGAGCCATGGATCTGAGATGAGTTGTGGGAGGGGTGGATATGATCATAACGCACTCCACAAAATTCTAAAATAAGCAATCTGACTTTTAAAAAGTGAAATTAACAAAGCAGGATCCTACTCATAGCTGTGCCTTCATTTAATTTTCAGCGAAGGGTCCACAGTACTCATAATAAATGCAGCTATCTTTGCTCTCAGCTGTAGCTACTGCCTTATGGTGCCATCGTTTGAATTAGTAATGTGCAGCGTATTTACATTTATACTCTATATTAAGGCTCATCTAACTGAAGGGTAGCAGGTAGGCATGTAATCTGGCAGCCTTACTATTTTTCTCTGTTCTACCTCTACCCTAAACACTGCAGGAAGAAGAAAAGCAAAACTATAATACATCCTATAAATGAAAATAGAATTGGGCAGTCTTGTATGTGAAGGTTCCCAAGTTGCAAAGCTTGTTGGAAATGTGTGGTATGAGGACAACCCAGCTCTGCCTTCTGTTGCTTTGTGTCCCATCTCCAAATGGCCTCTTACAATTTTCCAGTCACAAGTCTTAAAAATCAGAGATACAAATAGTACAGTCAAACAAATGAATAGGTTTTAATTTTTACACGATCATAATACAAAGTCTACTCAGATAGAATTTATTATCTCTGCTAATAAAGTAATTTAATTAAACACAGAGTGAAGTGAAAACAAAAATAATGTCTTGCTACACCATTTCCTTCCAATTAGGAATCAAAGCCTAAAATAATAAAACGTCCCTTCAACCCAAATAAAACAGGATGTGTACAGACATCAGCAAACTAGAATCCTGGCGAGGATAGAGATGTTTGATTCCCACTCATGTATGGTTCCATTAGCTGCGGCTAACTTGATAGCAGAGTGTTATTGTTTTCTACTCATATGTAAACATGGCCATATGTTTCCTATAAAGAAGCAAGAAAACAAACCATCCACCATACATGACATCACTTCCCTCTAGTTATGGATTCATCTAAGCGTTGAGATACCACTCTTCACAAAGGAACCACTGATGCTCAGGAATGTGAGTCACAAGCTTCAGATTACTCAGCAGGAGCAGCTCAGTGTAGGTGGGAAAAGCTGATCATGTTAGAGGCAGGGAGGAGAACCATGCTCCATGTCACCCCTTCTCCGTGCACGCAGATAGATATTCCATGCTTGTTTACATAGCATAGGGAAAAGCCTACTTCTTGAGACAAAATGCTTGGTTGCTGAGATGACCAACTCTGATTTTAAAAGAAAAAAGACTAGAACACACAGAGGAAGCTCAAGGATAAGTTAGGATGTCATCTGTGACCTCACTTCTCTCTTAATAAAGCGGTGGCTGTCTACTAGGAGCCGTAGAAATGATTGCTCGTTGCCATTCATTGTACAAAACCCAAGGCAGAGGAATGGTGCCTGTGACTTTTTTTTTTTTTTTTGAGACAGGGTTTCTCTGTGGTTTTGAAGCCTGTCCTGGAACTAGCTCTGTAGACCAGGCTGGTCTCGAACTCACAGAGATCCGCTTGCCTCTGCCTCCCAAGTGCTGGGATTAAAGGCGTGCGCCACCACCGTTACTGAAGTTCTCAGTTACCGTCTGCTCAGGGCTGGGGATTCACAGCCATCATACGCTGCAATCACATCCTGCAACACTTCTTTTTCCCCTTTATTCTTTTTCTTAAGGGTTAAGCAACTTGGCTGAAAGCAATTTGGTAACCATTAACATTCTCTGGTTGTAATGCAACATCAAAAAGAAGGAAACTGCTGAAAATACATATTGAGTGTTTTAAATTGCTTGCTTTATAATATAAACACAAGGGTGATATGTGTATTCTTTCCTTTTATAAAATTTCCGGCATTACTATTTTTTTTTAAAAAAAATATATGGACCCATGTTCCATAACATCCCCCTTTCTCCCTAAAATTAGCTTCATCTTTGTTTTAAAACTTTTTAACTTTCTCATAACATAGAGAAAATAATTTGCCAGAAAATCATGAGAAAATATGCCCATTTCTCAACACATCTTTTTTTTTTTATTAAAAGTGACAGTGAAATGCCCAAGTAAATGAAAGGAAAGGAACCTCGTAATTATTTGAATTTGGAGCATAGTGTCCTCACTTTAATCTTCAAAGAAGACAGAGTCTGTACTGACATGGGGCAGTTGGCCTCAGCACCACTAATGCTTCACAGATGATGGTGGCAAGGCTGTTTGGTCAGGTGGTAATCTCAAAGAAAATTTTGAAAGCAAACCATCTCATGTGTGCTGGGTGGCTGCAATCACCTTCTGCAGCCGTGTCAGGGACCCTAACCCCAGCATGGCAGGCATCGGCTCCTTACAGGGCTCTAATCCAAACCCAGTCCTGGCTGGAGGGTAGGTAGAGAAACGTCTCTTACCGGATGAAGTTAAAATCAGGTTTTGCTTTCTGGTCAGGTCTATCCTGGAGTTCAAACTTTGTATTTCTGACAGGCTCCAGCATCTGATTTTGTGCAGCCACGGGTACCCAGGGGAGAGGTAGGAAAAGAATGGTGACAAGGTGGCGTGCTATACGTTACTTTCACCTGACAGCTAAACTAGCTGAAGCCTGGGGAAATGGGAAGCCTCGGGTAAGTTACATTAGTACTAAATTGCAGGTACCTATTGCAGTTTAGCTTCCATCGTGCTGGAGATTGGAGCAGAATGAACAGCTCACTGAAGTCCGGATCTATCACTCAGAGTGTGTGCTGGAGGAATTCTACTGTGAGACAATCCTTGTCCCATTTTTACAATGTCATTTGAAGCATTTTGGGTTTCAGTGAATTCTCCTCTTGTGCTAGTCAAAGTCCATTGATAGCTCTTAAATGTATTAAGACATATCATTGCTCACAAATGTCACTATGGCAACCATAATAAGCCAGCAGGCTAAAAATACTGAAAGAACATCAGCAAAAAGATACATTTTAATTACATAGGAAATAGAATTATATTCATTCTGATATTTGAAAAACAATGAAATAACTAGAGTATTTGGTAAATTGGCTAAAAGAGGACTCTAGTTAACAGTGTCTTCCACCAGTCTATAGCTGCATTATTGATGTAGCAACATAACTAATGAAAGCCATGCGACTCAAGATCTCACAGTGATATTCTGATTTCCTGTACCTCATGCCACTGGCTTCATAGTCATTTCTATATAGAAATATGGAAGCTTTGAAAGGATAGCCTCTCACCCCCCATTTCTCTCCATCCCTTCCTACCCCATTACCCTGACAGCCTCTCCTTGTCCCTACCAACTCCTCTCCTTCTGCAAGTTCAAAGGTCAGAATTGAATCCTCAATGAGAGAAGCACTTTCTTCCACTGGCACCTTTCTTAATCCAAGAACCTTTTAAGGAAGGAAAAAGTTCTGTGTCTGATGATGCAGATATGCCAGACATCAGAGTCCTTTCTGGGGAACTTCTCTTGCGCTGCTCTTGGTTGGGAAGCCTACAAAGGCTTCTTTAAACCTCTCTGGGATTATGGCTGACAGCTGGGTTAATTTTCCTTCTTTTTTCTTTAACTTTCACAACAGCTATATTGCTTTTATTTATTTAAATTATTTATTTGTTCATTTATTTATTTATTTTACATTCCAAACACAGTTTCCTCTCCCTCCTCTCCTCCCATTTCTTCCCCCTACTTCCCTTTTAATCCCCCCCCTCCCATTCCTTCTCCATTTCCATTCAGAAGGGGTAAGGGCTCCCATGGGAATTAACAAAGCATGGTATATCAAGTTGGGGCAGGTCCAAGTTCCTCCCCCTTGTATCAAGGCTTAGCAAGGCATTACGCCATAGGGAATAGGTTCCAAAGAGCCAGCTCATGTGTCAGGGACAGGTCCTGGTCTCACTGCTAGGA